GTCTATTTACACCTACAGGCCAATGAATGATGATGAGGATGTACATCCTGGACAGGGAGGAACACTGGTTTAAGCGTGGAGTCAAGAAGGCCATTTACGTGAAAAGGGAAAGACCATCTCTGAATCAAGGGGGGCCTAAGGGTACATCTTTCACCATCTTACAGTGCTGTGATTGCAGCCATTCCCCAGCTCTCTGTGAATGGTACTCATGGCCATTGATCATTGTCCCTTGATCAATGGCCATTGATTGATGGGCTTTTATCAGTGACTGTTGATCAATGTAGCAATCAATTCAGCTGAGGCTGAAGTCCTTGGATGACTGATGAAAATTTTCTCCCATTGAAAGCGCTACGTCCAGATGAACAGAATCAACCTTTTAGGATTTACTTAGTTGGATGACTGAGCATGCATGAAGACAACCACAGTTTTGGTTCTTGTGCAGTCATTTCCCTTGTTGGAGAGTTTTAAAAAAAAATGACGGTCTTGATTTTTGTAAAGGAGTCGCTCTCATGACTCATCAAGTGACACCACTTACTGGCCAAATGGTAATATTGAGGAGGGGCTCAGCATAAAACCACTACCCTTTTTGTTAAAAAGAGCCAGCCAGTGTGATTCAGATTTAAGACAAGTGTTCCTCCTACTGAGAGGAGACATCAGGCACGATACTGAACACGTTGGACAGATCTACGTTTGGCTTGGATATGGTTTGTATCCACCCTAAACACCTGGAGGCACATGTTTAAATCTTGGCTCAATACATACTTCCCCAAAGAAATTAAAGGAACACTCTGAAAACACATGAGATCTAAATGAGAAAAATAAAATCATGTTGGGTATCCATACTGATATGAAATGGGTAAGGTTTCAGAAACAAAAAGAAGAAAACAGTTTGATAAAAAATTGTTTGATAAAATTTTCATTTCATTTATTTATTGAAAATAAAAATTAGCAACCTGCAGAGGCCTGACCTCAAAAACCCACCAAAAATCTGAGTGAAGAAATGATGCAGCAGCCTTGTAGCAATTCAAACTGGTACTCACAGTGTGACGTAAAGCGGCAGTTAGACACAGCATGGTGTAAATCTGCACAAACATTTACAAATACGCTTGTACTTCTTGAAGTCCACATATGAGTCACACACAGTGGTCCTGTACATGTTTTAACAAGTTTACACTGTATGTTTGTCTTGTGACTGTGCATGTATTTCTGTGTGTGTGTGTGTGTGTGGGTGCGCAGGTCCACAGGCAGCAGGTGGAGGCTCTTCAGCAGCAGTTTAAACAGAGAGACAGTTTGTAATCAAATGGCAGATGCTGAGTGAAAACTGCCCTAATTAGAAAACTCTGTTATGCCACACTGCTGACTAGTGGTCAGATTATGTACTGCCCCATCAACTACTGAATGCAGACTGGCATACAGCAGACTGTAAAGTAAAATACAGCCTGTGACTTTGTGTGATGTAAATGTATCACATTCGAAACAGTTTTTGAGTATCCAGAACTGTGAACTATTGTTGCTTATCTGAAATGAAATATTTTCTGACAAAATAGTGTCATAAACTATAGCAATACAAAGCTCAGTATACGGGCCAAAAGTTCAGTTTCTTTCTTTAATTTGTCACCTGTCAACTGTGTCTCATCCTCACTGCTCACTATGAATTTAACCAAAAAGCCTTCTAAAAGCATGCCTTGCTGACTGGAGAGCATCAGTTTGAAAAAATAATTTTTAAAAACCACTCAAATTTTGATAAATTAGCCTCCTTTGGATGGCAAAATTCCACATTAAGGCTTCAGCAGCATGATCAACATATCTGGTTGAGCCCATTACAGCACATTGTGAATGTCGACCAAGCAGGAAAGAGAAACTATACACAGACAACCACAAGTAATTAGCAGAGTAGTACGTAGCAGGCTGCTGGACCACAGATATTTATGTTACCACACAGTTTAAACTGGTCTGAATCTACTGTGCACGTGCACGAGTGCAACAGCACCATTTGTAACAATCTGCAGCATGTCAGAATTTACCCATAGAGCTGAAAGAATTTCATGGACAAGCAGCCACAAGCAATAATCACCTTCAGATTCACCTCTTCAGATTGTTGAACCTGATTAGAGCCACCTGATCAAAAGCTCATGCACATTCACTCATTTGCACAATCAGCACCGCAACAAACTCGCCATATAAGGCCGACCTTTCTGCTCCGTTTGTGAGGCGTTCATCTCACAAAAAAGGAGATTAAAAAGAATCTCACACTACAGGGAAACTTTAAATAGTTTCTGATCTCAGCAAGCAAAACCATGATGGGATTATCAGTGCTGTAACATCTCTCTGCTTACATATTGTGCTTTTGTGCCTGTTCTCACCTTCGCCAAGTGCTTTTTCAGAGAGAAATGACTGTAGTTCAAATATCTTTGTTGATGTCTGTGTCTTGTGTAAAATTCATGCATACTGAGGCATTTTGCATGTGTTCCCAACAACAAATGGAACAATTTAAGAATTCATAGTATTAATCGTATTTAAATGTCAGATAAGAAATGAAAGATTTACTGGAAAGACAATTTTACATCTCAGAAATATATTAAGCATTTATTATTTGAGTAAGTATGCCTAACATGCCATGGAAGACAGGAAATGGACTGAGATACGCAATAATAGATTCCAAGTGTGTATCATGTTGCTGAATATACTTGTTTTAATGTTTTTTTCCCCCTCTTTACAACTTGTTTCTATTGTACAGAAATTCTAGAGTCCACCTTTGTGTCTGCAGTACAAATCTTGTCAGCATCAAATTATCCAGGTATATAAAGGACTGTTAAGTGGTTATTAAGCACCCCAGCAATAATTTATGTGAAAGGACAAAAGATGATGTCAAAGCACTGACTGACCTCATTATAAGTTCATGTGGTGCAAACCGATATGTTCCCTGTGCCAGTTCAGTCGCTGCACAAACTTGATTTTTACTTCCCAAAGTGCATTAGTTCCTCACATGGAGCATAAAAACATGATTAAAAAAAATCAACAAATTGCAGCAGCATAGTGTAAATAAGGCAGTTGATTAACATTTAAGCTAATGTTTCAAACTAATACATCAGATCCTCCTCTCCCGTGTCCATTATGTTTGCGTTCAAAAAGCGAACCTAATTGATTGCGAAAAAACTCGCCCGAAGGCTTCATAAATGGGGTTTAACTAACCCAGTGATTGACCTCACGATGGCTGCATCTGTCTTTTATATACAGTCTGTGTGTAGAGCTGATCGTGACACACACGTAACAGCTAGCATATGTAAGGTGGAGCTGTGGCAACCAGACACACTGTTAGTCACGTGGCGAGTCAAGGCAGATGTGGGTCATATCTGGGCCTTAACATTTATTGTTTTCTGCTTTATAGAGTAAACCAGAGAAATATCACCTACACATACAGTTTCCTTCTGATATTTGAAGCTTTGCATTGAGTTGTAACTCATTATTATGACAACAAGCAAACTCGACACAAAAAGTTCCCAGCCTGATGGTAGAATAGAGCAGGGCGATATGACCAAAATATTTATCACAATATACATTTGAAAGTTTGCGATAACGATATAACTGACGATATAATTGACACTAGACAAAATACTTTACAACTCCACAATTTTATTAGTGCAAAAAAAACCAAACATCAATGTATTTTCACTTAAACAGCAGATGTTTTTTGCATTAAAGTTATATAAAAATATAACAGTGCAAGTGCAAATTCCTTGCTGACAGTTTAACCAAAAGACATTTCCAGTGGAAATTGGCCGACATATAATCAGCATAACCATGTATAATATCCACAAAACTTAAAAAGAGCTTATACACACACAATACGCTGCCGTGCCCTTTTTGCCATGTGCGTATGAAAACAAAGGCACTGCGCATGCGCGTTTTACTCATATTCTATTGCGATATTTCATTTTCTTATCGTTGCCCGACATTATACCGGTATTACCGTGAACGGTATGATATGGCCCAGCCCTATGGTAGAGTCAAACCCAGGTCCTTCTTGCTGTGAGGCAATAGTGCTAACCACTGTTCCACTCAGCTTTAATGCTATATACCTGTCCATCTGGCAACTTTGTAGAACTTTTAGAGCCTTAATGATCTCCGTAGAAGTCCACATTTTCACCAGTTTTGTGCAGAACCAGATCAGATGCGTGAGAGCAGCAGAGTTCATGGCAAATCCCCTCTTTCTAATAGATGTTTTCAAAGTTTCAAACATTGAGTTACAACTTAAAGAGCCACAGTACATTTCAGAGCCACACGACAAAAATGTGTACATTAACTACATTAATTAGAAAAGAAAAGTGTCTCACAGCCCATTAAAATGTGTGTTCACGTGTGAGTCTGTCAAAGTCCACTACTAACCAATAACGCTTTTTTATAATCATAAAAACAATCAATCACAGATACTGTTTGTCTAAAATTTTCTTTAACAACCACAGGTTTTCGTGTGGGTCGTGTGTTATAACATTAAAGCTAATCTTGTTCCCGTGATTACAGCATATAAAGAAACTCAACTTACCAGCAAATTTGATCATATTTAACATATAAATGAAATATGTTCTGATGCAAGCCACACAAAGGGCTGTAGGATCCTCACTAATGATGTGTTAGGTCAAATAAACAAACGAACCCTGAAAGAAAACAGCAGAAAAGCACCATGCAGTATAAGTGAGTATTCATTTACACCAGCTAGAGTATGCCACAGGTTAAGTTGATTTGAAGCATTGGCTGATCAGTGGAGGATCTTTTGGTCCCCACAACAGTGAATCAAAGTCAGTATCAGCATCCTTATCTGCCGTCACCTTCTCTTCTCTCCTGCTCTTCATCTTGTGTCCTTTGCCCGAAACCAACTGTCCAGTTAGGCTCTGAATCTCCTGTAGGACTGTCCTTATGTCCAGTTTGTGCTGCGAGGCTTTCAGAGTAGCCCTGTTAAATGGAAACGTCCTTATGAAGTCTCCAACCTTCACTGGTGGGATATTTTGCCCATTCCCTGTGGTTTTCTCCGCAGTGATCCGAACTGGCTTTGTGCTGTGAACGTTTGAAAAGAGTCAATTGTCATCCCTTTTTAAAGATTTTTAAAGGTTCTCAAACTGGCTTCAGTTTTATGAATTTCAAGGCATAAAAATGCAATTTTCACCAAAATTGTAAAATATTCCAAGTCAGAAGTAATTTAAGTAACAGTAATAGGTCAAACTTTCCACTTTTAAAACCAACGATTTGTTCTTCGTTTGACATTTTGCAAATTTACAGTACCTGTAAATGTTTGGGAGCTTCCAGGACGCAGCAGGCCGTGTGAATGCTTCCTCACTCTCCTGGGTGTCAGGTGTCAAAGAGGAAACGTCTGTCTCTCCTGAGCACTGCCTCTCAGCTTCTGTTTCAGAGTTGTCATGGTTTGTAACATCAGACCTGTAAAGAGACCCGTTGTTCATGAGGTACGATACAAGAGGCTGACGAGACTGTCTGTTCAACGCTGACTCATTTGTCCTTGAATCCTGGCCCAGTATCAGGTTTTGGGTCTGGTTGGTGTGGAGTTTGATAGCACTGGTGTTAATTATTCTGCATCTAGCTTCACGTATCTTCGATAATTCAAAAGGGGGAAGGCATCTTTGGTAGTTGGCTTCAAGATCACACTGTTTAAGTTTACCCCGTTTTGTCTTTTCAGGCTGATGAGACGTTTTTAGCAGAGGGAGAATTTGAGTGTGCGAGCCCTTGTTACCTCTCTTTTTCTTCTGATGGTTTAACGTTGAGAGCACAGGTGCAGACGGGTGGTTTGCCTTAAAACAAGGTTGCTTGTACCTATGTTTCCGATAAGCTCTGTCTCTTAAGCTGTCGGTCGATGTGTAGTTCATCATATCAATGACATCACTGACAAGCTTTTTCTTCACTGAAATATCAGCTTGGCAGTCCAGTGTGAGTGCAGGGCTGTAGTTGACCTCCAGCAGCCAGGGCTTAAACTTGGCATCTATGAGGATGTCAAATCCAAACAACTCCACACAGTTAGGACAGGAGGGCACTGATGTAGCAATGGCGAGAAGGGTCAGAGTGACGATGTTGTTGATCCTCTGCCACAGAAGCAGCTCGTTGATCTGTTGACTGTGGAGAAAATGTCTGAATTTGCTCATGGTCCACTTACATCCCCGGCCCACTCTTCCTTTTTCGGTTTTGTAGAAGGGACCGAACTTGTTGATGCTGGTGTTAGTGAGGTGAGCATACAGGTTATGCAGAGATGACAGGTTGAACTTCTCAGTGGCAAAACGCACCAGGCCTTCTTGATGAATGTACACAGTCAGTGGATGAAAGCTCTTCACACACACGTAAATCCTCAAGTCAAACTTGTAGCCGGAGATCAGCAGAGAGCTGCTAATGTACCTCTGAATGACAACAGAGCAATCATAAACCAAGTCCTTAATATCCTCGAAGATGAAGATCCCTCGGCCTCTGGAGAGATCCACAGGCTTAACTATCCAGTAGACCGATGTTCCTCTGGCCAGACGCAGTCTGTTGTACTCAGCCAGGAAGCAGGTGTAGTCATTGGGGAGGATGAAAGTGGTGGGACTGAAGTCATAGAGAGCTGAACCAAATGTTGCTTTCATTCTCCTCAGGTTGCGTGCCAAGCAATCCTAAAGAAATCCGAAAGAAATGCAAATAATTCATTTGGTATAAATTCAGGTTTTTTTTTTTAAAAAATTGCTTTGTTGAAAATGATGTAAAATCTTCCCAAATTAACTAAAACTATTAACAGAATGTGAAGAGACAACCACTGACTTTATATCACAAACATTTATGTGGTGTGCTGAAAATATTTTAGAAGTTGAAGTCAAAGGGCAGTAGATTACCACTTTGCACCACAGGATCATGAGAAAGTGAATCAATACAACCCGTATTTAACAAGGAAAGTCATTAAGAATGTTGTTAATTGCATTTGCCACCAGAAAAGACGAAGCCTGTTCAGAAAATAAGGGCAGGGAAAATAAGAAATATCAAAGAGAACAGCACGTCTGAAACTCAAACACTGGTATAATGCTGACCCCTGGTGATAAAAGTTTAATCAGCAGAGGGTAACGACAAAAAGTACATTTCAAACGGACCTATTATGCTCTTCCTTGTTGTTCTCATGTACATACTATTACACTTGGTTGAAGTTTCAGATGAAGTGAGCGTATGTATAAGTAGTCAGAGTCTACTAATCATCTATTTACAATTTTTTTTCTTTAATATTTTGCATTCCTGCCCGGATGGCACAGTGGTAGAGTAATTACCACGGACCCTCACTGCAGGAAGGTTCTAGGTTTGAATTTCCTGGTCCAAAATCATGCGTGTTAGTTGAACTGGTTGCAGATAAGTGAATCCCAGAAGTTATGCTTTGTGCTTTTCCAACATTTCAAGCACTGACACAAGAATTTTTAAACAGCTCAAGAGCTGAGTTTTGTTGTACGAGAGTCGTTTACATTTCTCGACGTAGGAATGAGATTCAAATGAACAGTTTATTTTTCTGGTAATACGTCTGTCATTCCAAAACATTAAGTT